TTTTTTTCAAAATAATCTTTTAAAATTACCACGTGACTAAACTGACCAATCAAAATTGATAACACAGAATAAAACAAAAAATTTAATCAAAAATTTTCAAAAACCATAACTTTGGGGGGGGGGGAATCAAAATTTCTGCTTCCCCCCCAAAAAAAAACCCCACCAGCCAAATGTCAGATTTCCAGTGGGAGAGCTGACTTTTCTCCAGAGGTAATCACCTTGTATATGCAGAGAAGAGTTCTGTTCCCCAGGGCTTGTGGCATCTCTTAAGTAAAAAGGGCACCATTTTAGGCCCCGACCCTCCAAACACTTAAGCATATGCTTAACATTAGTGCTACTGATTTCAAAGGGACTACTCTCACAGTAGTAAAGTTAAGCACATGCTTATAGGATTGAAGCCTTAAAGCAGAACAAGCAGCTAACTTGTTCCAGGATTCCCTCCCAATCTCTTTGATGTCATCGTGAAAAGGAAAAAAGGCAGCAGGCTTTTTCTTGGCCTTGAACAGCCTCTTTTTAAAGGCTTCCCTGAGGGTTTTGAAGTCCTCTATCGCCAAGATCTTACCTTGCTCTGAAGACAGGAAAAGGGCCTCCCCTCTCTGAGGAGTCCTCATTCTTCTGAGAAGTTTCTAAAACCCTGAGCCACCAAATGGCCATGCTGGCCTAAAGTGACTCTGTGTGGAGTTTGGAACAGGAGGGCTAAAAGAATGTAAATTACAGGAGTATTTGCTAAGCAATTTCATATATTTAACTGACTCAGACCCAAGGCATTCTTGGTAAGTTTTTTGACCTTAGACCCAAAGTAAATGTTGTAGACTATTTGTCAAAGTAGTAATAAGTTATTTCAGACCTGTGAACCTGGAGAAATACGTGGTGCTGATCTGCCACACGGCTGGGTAGTCAGAGGTTTAACAGGCACCCGTGGAAAAATAAACTGCTTCTGAGCAGCACCAATAGGAAGCCTCCTAGTTTAGAAAGAAACAGAAATAATAAAAGTTACAAGACTTGCTTTTGTTTTACCTATAAATCTTGTACTGCCTCCATCTGGTTGGCTACTGTAGTTTTACTAAAATTCATGTAAACAGAAAAAATAGTAGTTATACGAGTTAGCAGAAAAGCTTGATATACCTATGTGGAACTGCATTTTGTTTTTATATTCTTTTTCAATATTTTATGTAATACAGAAGAGCAATCCATGAATCAATACAATTTTAACAATGTAAGATATTTCTCCAGACATGTGATTCTGGAATTAGAAGAGAGCACTTATCTATTAACCTCATCCAGGTTAAGTGTTTCAACTGATGGCTTAAATACTCAGCTGCTTCCATTCCCTTTAGAGGAGTCTGACATTATAAAGTTTTTTTCCTGTCTCCCTCCATTGGTAGGAATATATAAATTCCACTCTTTGGGTGCCCCATTTGAATGCGAAAGTTAACTTTTTACAGTATTTACTTGCATTAGTTTCCACAACAAAACTATTTTAATTTTTACTTACCATTTGGGGGGCTGTTCTAAATACATTTCTTTTTCATCAGTATAGGGAATAGTCAACACACTTCTATTTATGGCATTTAAATAATTCTCAGCATGTTTCTGTTAGAGAAAAAAAAATCAAGTTTAGATTATTACAGGGGAGTTAGGGACACTCAGCATGTTCACTTGGATCATGTAACTTAACATTCTGGTTCTTGTAATTACTTGAAAAGGAATGACAGGTCGGACATTTATGAGTAATTATAGCACATCTTGGATAACTTCATAAGCCACAAGGCCTGTTGACTTTGACCATCCAAAAAGTGCAATCATGGTTTTGAAATATAACGCTTGGTGCCTCTTGTTGCTTGCTATTCAGAAACAGAATACAGACAGAGGCAACTATTTAGACCCTTGTATTTACAATGAATTACTGACAAACACTTCACTACTGGCAAGTTCTTCCTGTTCTGTTTGAACTGTGGATCTACTTACTCTCAGCCCAATTTCAGTTCTTTCAATGGCTGTTTCAAGAACACGAACATCCACACCCTCTCCATTTTGTTCAAGGTTGATGCTTGTCAGTTTGTCCTTAAGCTGGTGAAGGTCTTCTTGAACCTACAAAATTATGTTGTTATACGAATAATGCGCACATACCACCAAAACATATGGTGTACTTCACATGGTTTCAATTCAAAGCAAAAACATTTCCTAAATAGAGGACGCAAATACCCTTGTAAGCCCCTACAGCCCTGCAATTTTACAGTAGACACAGAGAAATCTTGCCAAGGACTTCTGAAGCTGACAGCTAGTGCAAAAACCTGGACAACATCTTACAATGCCACCTGAGAGAGAGAGATTCAGAAGTGAGGACCTGCCACCAAGTGGGGCCCTGACCCCATTCCATTCAAGCATTACTCTTGGCACAGTTCTGGAGGCGTGCAGGTGCTGCAAAAGGTCTGAAAGGCAGAGGCAGTCATTGAAGTAGCTTACATCAAGAACACATAGGTCTTTGTCACTGATTATGATTATTTGTACTGTGGTAACACTAAAAGGCCCCATTATGCTAAGAACTTTCCTAACATTTAGGAAGAGACAGTCTTTGCCCGAACTTATAAATCTAAATAGACAAGACAGACAAACAATAATTACACAGATAACATAAAAGCAAAATGTCAATGATACATACATTGTTATACATACACATATGATTTATATATATTCCTACACATTATAACACACATTTATATAACTAAAAGTTTCCCCAGACCATCCACCTTCCCTCCTGTGTGTGCAAGTACCCCAGCCAACTTGCTGTGACATTCATGACTCAAGGTGCATTCCTTTCACCCTGCCTACCTTACAGAAATAGAATCTTAATCTTGAAGGAGAAAAAGAAAAAATATCCCCTTATATTTTACGTGTCTGAAGGGCAACAATTTTCCTCACTGGGCCATAGACCCCCATCATTCCATCCCACCCACATCCCCTCCTCTGAAACCTGGTTAACCATCCCCTTGAATTTCACCTAGCAGCTGAATGCTAGCTAGTGCAACCACCATGGATAAGTGCATTTTATTTTCTATCCTTATAATAATATACATTATTATAAGCACCACAAAGGGAAAAATAACTCTTGAGGAACTGTACTGGATCAAAGTACTCAGAAATGGAAAAGACCTATTAAATGAACTCATTCCCTCTACATGGGCAGGGTACCATCGCCCTACTGAGTTAGGACTTTGAGTTCTAGGTCAGTGCCAGATCAGATAATGTTCCTAAACCTGATGCTACAGGCAACCCCATCCCATCAGAGACCATTTGAAATTCTAGGTTACATTTTTTACTCATATTCCTGTGCAACAGAGTTTAGAGTACAAGTGGCTTTGTGAAGTAATTATAATTTGAATCCCCTGGGGTACCAGAATCCCCCTCTTGACTCCTTTGTCCAGATTGGTTTCATATCACAGGTCCTTACCTCCAGTTTACCAGCAAATCATCATCCACTGTGCCAGTATTTCTTTCCATAAACACATCATTTGTGAATACATTCCTTATTGTCTGCCCTTCCCATGCCCTACCATTACAGGAGATCAGCTTGGGGAAGATGACATGGATAAAATTGTAAACTACCTCTTGTACCTTTCAGTCCAGAGTCCAATCAAATAGTCTTGCAGTGGGGCCCAGGTTTGATTGAATATGCCTCACCAACAACATTCCCAATGCTACCATCAACTCAGTGGGTAGTTGGGGTGACCCCCTTAATCTCTTTGCACTTCCAACCCATTCACATAGCCTACCTCCACTGCAATCGGTGGAAGTTTTCAATTGACTTCAATTTGAGCAGATCACGTCCTCCGTCTGTAATCTTTGAGATCCGTGAAGGATATGCATTAAACTATATTACAACCTAAATTATAGAGCAACTGTTCCCACTTACAGCTTGTAGAAAGTTTTGTTTACAATGACTGATTTCTTGCCAATAGAAACAACAGCGTGCTACTTTCTAATTGATGCTTAGTTTGAGGGCTACAGCCCTGGGTGGCAGGGCTCAGGTTACAGGCCCCCCAATCCCCAGGACGGCAGGTCTTGGGCAGGCTCAGGCTTCAGTCCCCCCTCCTGGGGTTGTGTAGTAATTTTTGTTATCAGAAGGGGGTCACGGTGCGGTGAAGTTTGAGAACCCCTGCCCTCACCTCACCATCCGCCTGCCATTCAGTGGTGCCACCCTCCCATCACCGGGGGCTCGGACTGCCTCATGCTGTGGGGCCCACCCACACGGCTACCGAGCTCAGGCTCGGCACCATCCCTAGCTCCGCACCCAGGGGTACCCACTGCCCAGCCGCCCTGGGGGCCTGGCTGCCTGCCCCGGTGTCAACCGCCCTCTACCCCTCCGCCCCCGCCTCCCCCCCAGCGCTGCGGCCCAACCACAGAGCCTGGGCTGCCCCCAGCCATGACCCATCTGGCCCCCCCGTCCCCGGGGGGGGGGGGGGGGGGAGACTGGCTGGCCGCGCAGAGGCTCACGGGAGTTTGGCCAGGGGCAAAGGCACAAAGGCTCATGGGAAGGGGGGGCAGCTGAACCCCCCCCTGACACCTCTGTGAGGGGAGGGGGGAATCGGTCAGTTGTGACCTACCCGGACCAAAATGGCTCCTACTTCCTCTCCCGTCCCGACTACATCGGCCATGGCAGCTTCCGATTAATCGGCGCCCGGGGCTACGGCTCCCGCGTACCGCTCTGGGGGACATCAGGGTGCACGTGACCGTGTCCTAGCAACGGGACGCGCTGGCCGGACTGTACCACCCGCTGCCGGGGGAGGAACAGTGCATGTGGCTGGCGCGGGCGGGAACTCTCTACCCCCCAGGAGGGCTGCCCCGCCCAGCGACACCCCGCCCCTCCGACCTGGGCCACCCCCTGCACGGAGAAAATCATTCACTGCGCTAAGCTGCCGCTTCCCTGCCCGGGTGGTACCATTCCCCAGGCCGGAAGGGGCGGGGCTTTGGGAGGAAGCGGAAGCACCGGGCGGCCGGGGGGGGAGCGATGGCGGTGGCGGGTCCCTGTGCGCTGATAACCAGCTGCGCTGCCACCTTTGCCGGGGAGGAGCTGGTTAAAAGTGAGTAACGCTCCGGGGGCCAGAGCTCTGCCCCCCCCCCCCCGCTCCCGGCCCAGCGGCCCCCCGCCCCCCCCGTGTCCTGGGCCGGGTTGGCCCCTCGGGCTCCCCCGCCCCCTGCGGCCGTCAGGGCCCCTCTGCCTGTCAGCCGGAGCTGCGGCCAGCGCCCCCTCCCCTCGCCGGGTCCGACCCCCGCCGAATTAACGCCCATGGCTTGTCACGCCTGCCCCGGGGGCGGGGGCGCGAACCTAGCGCTGCTCCGGGCGGGCTCGGGCCGGGCTCGGGCATCCTCCGCCGAGGCTCCAGCCGCTGTCTTGGCGGTGCTGGGGGTAGAAAGAGCCCGCCGAGTCGGACCTCCGACGTGCCCGGCTGGCGCTGCGGGGCTGGCAGGTGGAACTGCCTGTGTGCCAATGGGACAGGCCTTATGTGGTGTCAGAGACGCAGCCGTGTTAGTCTGTATCCGCAAGAAGAACAGGAGTCCTTGTGGCACCTTAGAGACTAACAAATTTATTAGAGCATAAGCTTTCGTGGGCTACAGCCCACTTCTTCGGATGCATATAGAGTGAAACATATATCGAGGAGATATATATACACACCTACAGAGAGCATGAACAGGTGGGAGTGGTCTTACCGACTCTGAGAGGCCGTTGCCATTTATGTGGTGTCATTGCAGTCAAGGTGGGACCCTGTAGCGCTGTGGGTTCGTGATCTTTTCTGCTGTACAGGGACGTGTTAAGCGACTCCACGTGTCCTTCAGTCAAGCATTGTAACCTCTGCCTAATGGCATCGGTCACAGCAGTCCAGGAAATGTTTGAGCTTTGTGGCTTAAGCATGTTATTGACACTAGATGCTGTGGCATTGGGCAAACTCTCTTGAGGATTTTATAGCTGTGAAAAGGGTAGGATTTTACCCTGTACCTTTCATGTGAGTGCCCTCCAGGCCCAGGAGCAGCTGCCTCATTGCTCTGGGACCTGCCTGAGAGAAATGATCACAGTCTGTTTCACCCAGATCCCCGTATGAGGGAAAGTAGCTTTCTGTGAAAGCCTGTACCTAAACCAAATAGTTTAAGCTTTGAAGTTTGACCTTCTCCTGGGGATTAAGATACACTCTTGTAAAAGAAACGACCAATAGCCAGAAATAGCTAAAATTTAGAGAACAATCTGAGTAAACCACAAACCCTGAAATCAGACATTGTGAGCTTCTATGAAGTACCTTAGAAAAATGAACTTGTGTTTAGCTGATTAACTCAGGTAATCCTAAAATCAAATTCCTCAGGAGGGGAGATGAAAGGGGAACAGTTCTCCAGCATTTTGCTATTTCCAAAGACTGCAGTGTATCTGAGATCATGCTTTTTAGCCAGGGCCTGCTCCTTAACAAGTGACTTCCTTCTGTTTATAACTCCAACTTAGGTTTGTTTAGCAATACCAAAAACTAGAGGGATGAAAAAAATCTCTTCTTCCCACTGCTTTTCTCCCCTCACTCAAATATTCCATGACATTTTTGAAATTTCCATGCATTTGGCCCAGATTGAATCTGTAGCATGCAGTAGTGCTTTTGACTTCTTGGGGGATGAGGAATAGCATTCATGTGGTCTGAAAACGTGATTTTGATCACATGCCTGGCAGTCAGAAAAAATTGCAGAAAATGTTCAGTGCAAGGAGTTAATTTATCTTTTTTCATAATATGATTCCAGGGATTGGTAATCTGCTCAGGAAGAAGCTTTTGTTTAATGGTTCTGCAAAAATGGTCATGGTTTATCATTCATCTGTAAATGTTCAATAATTGGCACAGCTATGGGTCCTAAAGAGTAGTCATGAACTGGCAGATAATTGCATGCATTTACATGCATACTAAATCACCTAATGGGTACCAAGACAAGTAACAGATTAAATAATTCACTTTCAAAATGCTTACAACTTTAGGTGTGACTTGAATGGCATTACAGATGTTTAAGTAAAGACAATCACATCAAAGCAACTGGTCAACTTTAAGGTTGTAATTTAAACCATGGAAGTTCTGATTCAGTCTGCATGTTAGTTAAGCACCAGGAGAAAATTATAGGAAATCTTATCTCTGGGGAGTTCTATTGTTGCTGCTTGTTTGTGAGAAAGTTGTGGGAAATTGCAGGGAATTCTGTGTTTTCGTAAAGCACAAAATTGTGAGGTTGTAAGTGTCTTAGAGAGAAACGTAAAGGAGTTAAAATAAGACAGGGTGGTGATACCTTGATTACTTGATGATACAAAACAGGATTGGAAGAATTTGTTGTTTGAGAGCTATGGAAGTCAGAACTTCTAAGTGACTCAAATAAACCAGATATGACTTTTTTTAAATAGTAACCACTTTGAAAGGCTTACAGGAAAAGAGAGAGATTGAATGGAGATAGTAAAATAGTGACAGGTATTTAAAAAAATTACTTTCATATACACATCAGCAGTTTAAATCACATGACCCAACTGGAATAGTGGAACAGACAACCCAGGGGTTATCTGAGGTTGGTATTTGGATGAGGGCTAGATGGCTGCCACTCAGTCAAGACAAGACTGAGAGGAAGTACTAGTGGGTGGGAGGAAGACACTGGTAGAGTTTGCAGAATTTGGGCTGTCTGCATCAGTTTAACCAACGGTGTGAATTTTAAATTGATTTAGTTAAATCAGTGCACCCTGCTTATATAGATAAGACATTATAGTGGCAGTCTTACCAAGGGAGTGGCACTGCCATTTGTAACACACACACGTACGTAACTGAGATGTGCGAGTAGATCCTGTGTTGCTCCTTGAGGACCAGAGAGCATCTCTTTTTGTTAAATCTGAGCCTTTCCTTTCAGCTGCAGGGACCTTATCACCATTATCCATCACTTTGTTACTTTGAGATTGGATTACAGTAATGGGCTCTTTTTAGGGCAATGCATCAAGACCACTTGGAAGCTGAAACTAAAGCAGGATGTGGTGCCCTCTTATTGAGCATAGTTTCCTACCATGAACGCATTCTGCAGTGCTCTAGGATATGCACTGGCTTCCAATAGGTTTCTGGGTCAAAAATCAAGGTATTGGGTTTTCATCAATAAAGTCCTAAATGATTTGAACTGCAGCTACTTTGGAACTCACTTCCCCCGGGGTCTTCTAGAACCTAAACTTTCAGGCCTGTTGCAAAGCTCTTCTCCCCGCTCCCTCAACCTTTTACGGAGGAGTGGGGGTGGCTTGAGGGTTGGAGGGATGTGTTTTGTTTCAAGATGCAATGAGCAGCCCTTCATACTTTACTGCATTATGACTGTTGTATTGTGTGTTACATTATGTCAAAGCCCAGGATGGGCACCTGCACCTTAGATGTATTTAGTTATCTAAAACAGTCTTGCAAAATCATGACATTACCACTCCAAATGCTGTCTACTCACTCAGATCAAACTTTAAACACCCAGGTGGACCAGGGAAGCAGCTGTACTGCTAATCCCTGGTGCTGATGGTTCTCTTTCTTTCAGAAAAGGGATTCTTAAATGTATTCCTGAAAAGTTCTTACTTCCTGTGTAACTTTCAGGGGGTATTTCTTATAGTTGCTTTCCACCAGGTGGCTCTCAAGACACAGAATATGAGAACTGCTAGTAACATACCTACCAGACCAGAGGAGACTTGTTAATTTAAAACACATTAAAGAACTGAACTAAGTTTTAGTCAGTGTTAAAATTGGGAAGCACTCAGAAAAAAATCAAGAATGCTTTACTGTAATCTTTGGGAGAAAAGCAGCAACAGGGGATTTGCAATGGTTTTTAAAAGAACATTACTAGTCCAGTGGTAGTTAATACTAGACATAGCAGGGATGCTTAAGTTTTAGGTATTTGTTTTCTCATAGCTGTAATAGAGCAGTAAATTCTGAGGGGGGGGGGAAAGAGGGAGATGGACAGACCTTCAGCTCTGTAGCTTATCTCCTGTGACTTTCCTCTTAAATATTCATATTCAGCTCATTTTAGAGGTCTTATTCAAGCTTCTAACGTGCTTTGGAGAGTCTATTCCATACATTAGATGCCTTCTATGTACAGAATGTCTGCTGAGCTTTTGATGTTTTACAAATGGCATGAATGTGATATGCCACTTACATTCTTAAGTTTAGTGGTGTCTGCCTTCCCAGAATCTTACTGTGTTTCATTTATCCTGTCTCGTAAGAAGACCAAAGGAACATCCAATGAAATCTGAAAGGCAACAAATTTAACTTATCGAGGAATAATATTGCTGCCCGGACTATCAGAGTCCAAGATCTTAGCAGTATTAAAAGAAGAACTAGATATTTGTTTGGGCAATGAAAACACTAAACAGAATTTTAAAAAACCTAAGGAACATAAATAATTCATGCTTTAAGGCATAAGCCAGCCACTAACTGCCTGGGGTTAGAAAGACACTTCTCCTATGAATAGATTCCATAAGCTTCTTGTGTCTTGCTCTGGACCAAGCTGATATGCCATTTTGGAAATGTAAGATTTTCAACTTTAAAGAACTTTAGTCCTTGGTGGGTTGCAAGAGACTGGTCTTGAACCAGTCAAAAATGCCATGTTGTTTACAGTGCTTTTAGCGTCTCTGCTTGGGCCAGTCCAGTATCTCCTGTTGTGATTCTCAGAGCAAAGGAGCTTAAACATTAACATTTCCCCTACAGTGGAAGCCTTCTTAAAAAAGATGTTATATTTGTGCATGTGACACTCTGTGAGCAGAGTCTCTTTGGGGCAGGACTGGGCCCTGAACCATTTGGACCTGTGGGTGCTATTGTAATCTGAATAACCCATCTCTGTTCCATGAAGAGGACAGCCAGAGAAGTCAGTCCAATAGGCCTGCCTGCATTTGAGGTCACTGAGTGAGTCAGTTGGTTTTATAGACTCTTTGGATGTTAAACCACTGACCCTCTTGATGGTTGGGAAGATCAAACATGAAAATGAGTAATTCTCTAAAGACGTACGTTTACCGAGACACGTGCTCTTGCCATGATATCAGTTTTCTGGAAATGTTTGTTTTGGCCAAATGCAGGCAGAATTAGAAATGTTTTTTATCCTAAAAAAATATTTTCTAGAACTGGGTGTGGAAAGCTTTCATTATAGTTGAGAACCTGTTTTTGCATTAAAATACAAACTGTCTTCTATTTTGGGAAGAAAATTCATGGAAACGTACAGTATGTACAATATATGAAACTAATTCCAAGGTGGAGTAACATTCTGGACAATTCTTAATTTGTCTAGACAGTTTATTTCAGTACCTTCATACAGCCTCTGTTTTTACAGCAGAAACAGAAGGCAAAACACTTAAATATCTTAGTATAGGTAGTGATTGTTAGTGAGAAATGTAACTAGTGGCAAACCTATTGAAGCTGTCAAAAATAAAGTATCCAAGCTGCACTTAATTTTGTCAGCAAGAGTAATATATAGAAATGGGACTTCACGGTTGTGCTGTAGAAATGTAGTAACTATCCCAAACCTCTAATTATTTTTATGGGAAGTCATAAGTATGCAATATAGCTCCAGGCAAGTTATAAAACTTTAAGGTATCTTCAGTATTTGAGTTGTTTTGTGTACAAGAGTTTTAATTCCACATGGTTCTTGGGGAGAAATTCCACAATATGACTGGCAAAGTCATTCTGTTTGAATGAAAGTTGCATAAAATAGCAGAACCTTAGCGGCTAAAAGGAAAACTAACGTTTGTGGGGTTTTTTGTTTGTTTTTGCATTGTTGAATTCTCTTAGAGGCTTAAACTATTTTGCCTCTACTATTTTGTAATAATTTTAAATTTCTTATGGATGGAGCTGATGTGAAAGATCTTTCAGTGAGGGTTGGGGAGCTATTTTTAAAAACACATTCACTTCCTTTTTGCATGCATGTTTATAATTCTTACTGAGTTGGCTAACTTAAGAAGAAAAAAGTGTTTTCCAACAAAGACTTTCTTTCCTCATTCTATTTTCTTCCCGCTGGTCATTCAGTGAAGTTATAATGTTGTTTTTGTGACTTTACAGTAATTTTAGTGGCAACAAACAGTTATAGCTTTATTAAAGGATCAAGTGGAGGGAGAAGCAGGGCACAGATAAGAGCTCTCAGAGACAAAAATATCTTCAATAGCAAAAGGGAAACATGAAAATATAAGGAATTTTTTACTAAATGATTGAAAATTTTTGTATGATTTCAAGGTGGTGGCAGGGAACAGTTTTAACATAACTTAAATAACTAACTTTCACTAGCATTGGCAAGCAATTCTAAAAATTCAGTTCTGAGATAACTTTCATAAGACAGATTACTAAAATGCCAAAACATGCTTTATGTGGGAATTAAAAACCCCACCACAGTATAGCTACTTCTAGGCCAGACTAATGAACTATATTTTACCTGCATTTGAAACAGTGTGCTACATATACTGGCCCTGTAGAAAAAGGACTGGTATTCATGTATTTAGAAATGCTTCATTGCTTGTTTGATTGTTACTTGCCAAAAGAGTCCCTGGATTTTTCAAACAATATCTTAACTACTTTGACTTTGCAGCAGAATATGAAATTGTAGTATTAGCAATTTGCTAGTAAACTGCTTGTGCAGTAGTAATTGGCATTATTATATACAGGACTTGTTACTGTCCTGAGTGTCAAACTAATGTAAATGGTAGTAGTTTGCCATTGTACTTAAATCTGGCTGTAGTAAATCAATATTACAACCCCCCACTTTACACTAGAAACAAGTGTTAGTTTTGGCATGCAAGGGACACTTTTAAAACAATCTTTTTTCTAAATAAAACTGATGTATGACTCAGTGAACAGCTCTGTGGATTTTGGAAGGAGATGTCACCCTTCAAGAGTTTCTCTGTTACTGAATGCTAAGGACAATCTGCTAAAGGGATTTCTGAAGGTTGTGTGTGTAATCCAAATTACTTGAGGAGGTTTAGAACTGAAAATACTCAATGTGTGTTAAAAACAAACTGAAAAGCAGTCCTCTTCCACTAGCCTGTCTAGACTAGAGACTTGGGTGTTTGCATCATAGCAACTGATGGCATCACCCAGCCACCAAACACAGAGTTATTTTCTTAGGTGTCTATAAGGCCATAAAATGGTGCAGGGTAAATATTGGATCCTGCACACAGTTTTTGGCAGATAACTGTAGGAAGAACTTTCTCAGATGCTGTTGAAAGTTACTGATAAACAGTATACACTAAATCTAAACATCTTCATGATCTAGGATTTTAAACTGTTTTTAGAAGTGAGCTAAAAAGTTTTTTTTTAAATTACATATAATCCAGATTATTTTAGTTAGATGTTGTAGTGGCCCCTGGAGTATACTTATAGGTCCATGGATTTGCAGACTAACAGTTGGTCACATAATACTAGGGAATCCAGAGTCAAGATTTGTTTGGCCTTGAATTATCTTAAATCCTTTACTTTATTTCTTTTGTTTTCTGGTTGTTAAGTGAACATTCTTGTCAAACAGAATGGACCTTGATTATATTAAAAGCCATTAGTACACTCTGACAATAGAAAAGTAATGGCACCAAAAATGATAAATGTTGCTAAAATAAGATGAAAGTTGTCTCGGCGGTTCTGTCATATACAATTTATTAATAAGAAAAGTAGGTTAAAGTTTTATAATATAGGTGTGGAGGAGCCAGTTTGTGGAAAACAAGGTTTATGAAATTAGATTAGGAAATTCTTTTACAGATTAGTCATCTGTTACCGAGGTCAAATCTTACCCTCTAATTCCTTCACTGCCTTCTTCCTCCCAAGCTCCTCTGCTTCAGTGTTGTAAACAGAGGTGTTCTGCACATCTCTGTTATGTGGCATCCACTGATGTGTTTGAACAGCTGCTCCCGCCATCATCTGTATGTTCCAGTCCTTCCCATCTTCCTTCAAATCCCACCGCAGCCCCCATTTTCACTATGCTGTCCTTGCCAATGAGACTTCCTCACCTACCTGTATTTAAACTGTTTTCCCATATATTGTAAATGGAATTCAATCAAACTTCTTGGGGAAGAGACTTGGTCTTTGGAAAGCACTGGGAGTTAGGTCCATAGGTACTTTTGAAAATCCTACTAAGCATCTATCTCTACCTTTAGGCACCTAGATCCCTTTAAAATCTGACCCTGAGAACTGAAAGACTGCATATTCCATTTCCAGTCCCCTGAGCCTTCTAGTCCCCCCAGAACTCTAGTTCTCTGATAGACTTACATTAATGGATACAGTTCTATAACTTTTTCAAAAACTTTATGATTTTGCCCAATTTGATCCCAATTATGCTGACTCTTTCAATGCTATGTAGTTGTAGTTCTTTGCTACTAATTATAATTTAACTCCACCAGATGGCTGTCAAACTATGTGATAGCCTAGGCCCTAGAGGCAATGCTAACTTAAAGGTTACTCCTAAATAGTCCAGTGCGTGGGCCTATAGTAAGTTTTCAGAGTGTTGGTTGGGACTTTAATTGCGGCTCCCATAGAACTCCATATAGGAATCTTTTATAATCTGTCCCAGCTTGTATATAGCTCAGACACTTTGGTTACCTTCCCAGACCCGAGAAAGAGCTCTATATGGCTTGAAAGCTTGTCCCGTCCGCTAACAGAATTTGGTCCAGTAAAAGAGATTACCTCATCTACCTTCTGTCTCTCAGATCCTGGGACCAAGATGGCTACCACACTGCAAACAACTAAACTTTTGACAGCTGATAATTTACTCCGTTGTCTTGTTGTGCGTTTTCAGTCATAGTCAACGACAATTTTTAATGACTTGGCTAGGAATGACATTGGCTACATGTATTTCATTCCATGCCCTTATAGCTTGTCTATTGTTTAAAAGATTGTTGTGAACTGAGTAGAGGTTACTGGTACAGCCTCTTGCAAGTATATGAACTTGGAGGAACATACTTAAACACTGAAGTAAATCTGCAAGTAGGTAGGCAAAAGTGACAAGAATTCTCCTTTTTTGTCCCGGCTGGAATTTGGATTAGCACCCATGATAGAAGCCAGGCCTGCACCTTCAGTATTTAAGCCACCTTCTTATTCCTTCCACAAAACATCCTTAATGTGCTCCATGGTGTGCATTGTTAGATACAGTCCTGCAGAGCATACTTAAGGCTAGAAAAAAACGTATTAATTAAAATAACTTCTTAAAACTTTTCTGTAACTCTTGCTTGCTACAGCATTTATCTCCATGGCTAGCATTAGTCTAGGATATAGTAACGAGTTGGGAAATAAGCTTTTGGAGTCAATACAAGTATTGGTAGTTTTTTAATATCTATTCTGAGTATTACAGTCCAGCTAAATTTAGCCTTATGTCTAAGACTTTTCTAGATGAACTGTACTCTTGGTATTGGCTTTACCATCTCATCATTCATTTCTCTGATTTTTGTATAGGTATCATTGGAACAGAAGACCCTGCTGCAGATGTGTCTACAAGCGGAGGCGTGAGATTTTACCCCTGGACAATAGACAATAAATATTATTCTGCTGATATTCACCTGTGTGTGGTACCAAACAAATATCTTGTGACAGCAGAAATTGCTGAATCTGTCCAGGCGTTCGTGGTTTACTTCGACAGCACAATAGTAAGAATGTTTTTTGTTCCTGTATATTATCTTCTCATGCACTATAGTTGGAACTGTTGCTATAATTGTCATCTTTATGTTCCCCAGATCCTGTGTTGGTTGCTCTCTAGGCTGGTCCTGTAATGCAAGCTAGAGCAGCCTTAAATTATGCCTATTAACAATGGTCCTTAGGAACCATTATGGCAATTAGGGAAGCCACAGTTCCTTGCCCCATCGTCCCTTACACCAGTCCCAGGAAAAGAGGTAACATAAGAGCTGGTACTCCACCTGTATGCATCAGATATTCCTGCTACATTGGGGCCATTCTCCTCAGACTAGTTATGCTGATTTTAGAGCGGTTTGATGCTAGTTGTGCAAAGCTGCTGTAGCACAGCCAGGGATCGGGGCAGATATTTTTAAGGATTCACCCTCATCCCTTTAATTAAAATAAGAGAGAGTCCCAATATGGTTGGAGTCATCCAAACAGTCTTCCAGTAAAATCAGCAAAGGCCATGAGATTCCTGATATTTCTAAGGCAAAACAAAAAACTAGGAGAAAATGTCCGTTTGGGGTGGAGAACCTTTCACACCATGAACAAGAGAGGGCACAAATCTATTTCAAGCTCCCTCCCATTTGAGGAACACCTGTCACTGCAAGACTGTCTCCAGATAAACAGTCTGCAGCAGCAAAGATAATTGATTAGCTTCAGTGATGCATGAACTTTAAGCCTCATTGAAACTGCGTAAATGTTAAATTATTATGTAACAAATTAAAAAATGCTACGTAATCCAAGTTAGGAATGCTCAGTTAATTTGCATAGTTTGATATTTCAAATCCGAATGAGTGAGATGAACTCAGCCACGGGGGACACAGGATATTTGCTATTCCTGTTTTCTCTGGTTAAAAATGCATAGTTCAGTATATTAGTATTGTGAACATATCCTAACCTAAGATATACCAACTGTACAACACAGATGAGCTGGCATTGCTGTTGGAACCTTAACTCACTCATTTTGTGACTGTGTCTTTTAACCATGCAGCTTTAAGTGTTACATTAACAGGGTTTTAAAGATTTATTTTAAAGTTGCAAAGTGCTTTGAGGTATTCATACAAGAACCTTGTTTTTTCCTCCAGAAATCTGGTCTTGACAGCGTCTCTACATGGCTTCCCTTGGCAGAAGAATGGTTACCAGAGGTTATGATCTTGGTGTGTGACAGAGTATCTGAAAATGGTAAGATGCTAAAGGATATCAAAGTTTGGCTGGAAAAAGTGATCTTGCATGCTGTTTTCTTGGCAAACTTACTACAGTTATATCTTCTGGTATATGAATAAGAGCTTTAGATTTGATAGGGGGGAGCTGAGTTACTCACATGGCTGGTAATTGGATGGAGCCTTTTACTTTAATTGCAATTGAAATCCAACCCAGGTTGGTAGTGACATCAGTGTACCATCTGATGGCTGCTTATTTGTCTGAATGACATGCTTGGGCTGGCCAGTTCCTCGTGGACAGGTGTACACACTGAAAAGTCACCCCCACATTTGGTACCTATCAACACCATTGACAATATTAACTGGGAGGTCATGTTACTGAATGGGCTGAAATACACTTGCCTGTACAGGTGGTCCACGTGAGTCAGAGTTGGGGCATATCAGTAGGATCATGGGTACTGACTGCAGTGTGAAGAAAGAAGAGTCAGCCTTTGGGAGTCATTTTCTTGTGTAAATCCATGTGCTCTTATTGGCTATAAGTAAGAGCTTGCTTCCTCTGTTGGCATGCATTGTGCAAAAGCAAATTAATTTAGCTCAGGATCAAGCCCTTAGTAGAAGTAATCCCTGTGACGGCTGTTCGTTTACATGTCAGTCTCGGCTCTGATTGCAAAAACCAAGAATTTATACGTGATTTGTAAAGAGGGAAACAGAGTGATTTAAGATATGGTGCAGTTTAACTCGAAGGCCTTTAGAATCTTTGTTTGTGATGTTAGTAATGGACAGAACCCGACTATTTCTGTACTTCCTTTGCTGCCATACAATCAAAGCAAGGGGACAGGTGGTTTGTTTTGTTTTTTTTGGGGGGGGGGGATAAAAAACTTCTGCACCGATGGTATTGCAGAGTTTAAAAAATTAGACATTTAGAAAGCAGCTTATGTTTCATAACCTTAGGTGTGAACCGACAAAAAGCTCAAGAGTGGTGCATCAAACACAGTTTTGAACTGGTGGAACTGAGCCCAGAGGAGCTGCCTGATGAAGACGGTAGGGTTACAACCTGTTATTTTTAGAATGAGTAAAATTACAAAGCTGATTGTGAAGCAATTGAAAGGGGCTTGCAATTTGTTTCTGTACTACCAGGGTTGTCTGCGGAATACTCTGAGTTAGAGTGGTGCTTTTCCCGTCAGGGCTAGGAGGAGTTGGTTGTTTCCTCCAGGGTTATCACCTCCAAAATACACTGCTGGTGATGTAGCACCTACATAAAAACTGGTTTGTGCTCCCTCTTCTGGCTCTGTAGCAGCTGTTGTCTAATCCCAGTGCTTTGATGATATAGTTGATGGTCATGTATAAAATAAACAACATTTATACTCAATTTCCCGATCCATTTGAAACAAAAAAAAAACTGGTAGAGAGAGTTTGGGGGACGACAACGTATTTTTAGAGCTTTGAAGACTTTTAAAAGCAAACATAAAATACAAACATTGTTTAATGATCTCTTGTCTTCGGGCTACTAAATTACCATTTGAATAAACATTTTTTAGTTTTTTGTTTAAGGGAGATGTGTGTGTGCGCGGTCATGCAGGAAACAAACCAGTTTCAGAATCACTTGTGTGGCCGTGTGTTCAAAATTAAAACCCATGAAGCAAAACCGATTGTGTCATGTTGACATCTGTGACGACAAATGTGATATGTTCCACTCTTGTGGTTGAGTTCTGGCACCTCCTGACGCAGATCTCCCGTGTGTTGAGAAAAGGAAAGCATTTACTGCTTCAGTAGAGCCAACACAGTCAGCTATATTCCCAAGCATCAGTTATTCACTAATATTTGTCAGTTCAAATACATTGAATGCAGTGGGAATGCACAGCTGTCAAGGAGAGCTTAATTTCACCCAAAGAATCTCTGTGCAGAAAGTTACAAGGTTCCATATTTCACAGGGCCTTCATTACTGGTGCTGTACGAGAAGGAAAGAACCCAATTTGTCTTTTAGATCAGTTTGAGTTTGCAGGCCTGGCAGTTAGGGAAAAGAGCTCGTTTTGACTTGTAAACTGAGGTCAATCGATACAGAAGTTACTGGGAGACAATTATGAAACCCCACGGTATCATTTTTAATCACTTTTCAGAGTAGAGTTGTACTTTAAAGTTACTAATGCTTTCTTTCAATGGAAATTTCTTTTAAATGTACCTTCTTTTTAAAGTGTGACTCACTTGTTTAGATGCAAATAAAATAAGCAATATTCATAATCAGCCAGGGTGTTAGTTTTTGAGTGATGATACATAAACTCTAGCTCTCCTACCTTTCTAACGTTAACATATTGAATCACCGTGACTCAGACATTGAAGGAAATACATTCTAATGAGTAACTTGTTTCCCCTGTAAACCTGTTACACGAAATGCTTACACAGGAATATAAAATGGATGCAGCACAGAAATAGTGCCAAGATCTGTTAAAAATTACCAAAGGAGCTGCTCCAGCTGACTTGGAGCTCTCTTTGTGACTACAATATCAGTCAGCTGTTTTGTGTAATAGCAGGAACTATTAATTCAGCCTCATGACAATCACACTGATGCTTTGTCTCCTGAGACACCCTGCTCTTTGGCTTTTTGTTTGTATTTTAAACCTAAGGGTCACTGGCACCTTGAAATCTATTTTTTAAAAGGCGTTAAAGGTAACGTCACTTACTAGACCTGCCCCTGAGTCATCCCACAAATGCTCATGATTTTTTTTTTTTTGCAGTCATATTTTCCGATCCTAAAATGTCTCTCTCTCCCCTTTTGCTTTGTGAGAGACCTCCACAAACAGGGGAAACTGACTAATCCAAGGAAATGGTGAAACTGACTATACAAAGTGCTGTCAGATGCTCGCAGTAAGCAAACTGAAATAATAAAAATAGCTGTCAGGTTATAGTAACTTAAGGAGCAACGAGTTAGTTTCCAGAGAGAAGTAATTTTAGGCGTTCCCTATAGTCCTATTCCAATTAATCAATCAAAATTTAATCAGACTTTTTATATCGTGTGTCCTAGAGTGTTTAAATAGTAGAGCATGGACATTTTATGAACAGGAAACGGGCAGCTGGCCAAACATCTCTGCCCTATTCAGTGGTCTATTTAAATAGTGAACTGCAAAGGAAAAAAAGGGGGTTTGCCTCCTTTTTGGCTATTTTATGGTCTATAAAGATCAAATTGTTGGAGCGATGAGGGGTGGATTGCTTTTTACATTCAGGACTTGTCATAATTCTAGCAGTTTTTTCATCAAGAGCAGAATAGACCGCAATACCGTATAAGTGACACCTGCTTCACTATGAGGGGACACAATTTCAGTTCATAGTGTTTCACTTCGTAGCACACATACCTGTAACTCAGATGTCTCAAATATGCAAGGGGAATTTTTGTTAAATATTCAGCATCTCCAACCCTTCATTTTAAGGCTGAATGCGCTCAATCAATGTTGTTTAGACCCACGGAAGACATAAAGCAATGTATAAAAAATTTCAAAACCTGGCAAAAATGTAGGGTATCAAAGAGGCAAAAAGGGACAAATGTTTTTTCCCTTAGCAGGTTACTTTTTACATTCCTTCACTTTCAGTACCAGTCTGCTCGGCAGTGTAGGACAAGCACTCACACGCACAGCTGATAGATGTTCGGTGGTTAAGTATGTAAGACATTTTTCAGTGATTAGAAGAGGTCTGCTCAGGCCTACTTCTAAAGCCTAACCTAATCCTGAGAGGGCTGAGTCTTTTCAAACCCAACCCTGTCAGCACCACGGCTGCCTTTTCTTTAGAGCTCAGCCTAGTGAGGGCTTCCCACAGCCCATCTTCCTGTGCAATTTGTCTCCAGTCATTTCCTACCCATGTGTTCTGCGCAGCAGCAGCTACTTCGTGCCTTACTTTTGCCAGCTGTCTTGCTGCTCTGTGTGCGCTGCAGAGTGAGTTTGCTGACGAGTCACAGTACCTCTCACTCAGTGCAGCGGTGGGCCTGAAGCTGCCATCGCAACACCCTGACGGGCAGGGGGAAGTGATCAGAGCCTCCCTGACCCGACCTGGAGAGTTTTGGATTGTTTTCTAACCTGACAAAACCCTGACACCGGTAGTAAGGTCCCTTTGGGTTGGGTTGCAAGCTCTAGTAATTGGAGTCTGGGACAGAGTGCTGGTCTCTGTTCCATTTCTACTGTTGATGCATCATGTGCATCACCATGATGCACCGCCTTTTCCCAGTTTAGTTTTCTACTATCATGCAGGTTAGGTTTCAGAATAACTTTGATAGAAATTACATGGGTTTTGTCTTTTGTTTAGATGACTTTCCAGAGTCCACAGGGGTGAAACGAATCGTACAAGCCTTGAACGCCAATGTCTGGTCTAATGTAGTAATGAAGAGTGGTATGTAACCAAGGCTTTTCTCTGGGGTAAAGCTGTAATTCTGGATAAGTTAATGCCAATAGTTTTTAGTTCTTACAGCTAGATTTTAAGTTCAGGAGGCTTTTAAAGTGGAAGTACTAGATCAACGCTTGCTAAACGGTATATAAAAACAGAGCTCCTTCTGAGTGCTTTTGGGGCTGGCTGTCCAGCAAACTTTTCCAGGTGTCTTGCCCTAAAGGTAAATGTTGAGTTTTACTCAGAACTGTTATGTTGTAATGGTTGTATTCAAGCATTCTTTGTCTGTCTTTGGTAAGGTGGATACTTCAGGGTCAAATGAAATTAAAGCTCATTCAACCAAAGCTCTGGCAGTGAGGTGGCCTGCTTCCGGTCAGTTCGGACTCTAAAACTTGTAATGAAGCTACCTCTAGTTCAGTGCACTTGCCTATCATGACTATATTGCCCCAGACTGAGTCACAGATCAATTGTTCTTACTCTTTTAAAATAGTGGCTAAAATAGGGTTGAAGGAAGAGATTTGAATTTCCGAGGAATTCATTCCATGTGTCCAACTTCATGGAACTGAACATTAACCTCCCTCCCCAAAGTAGGAGCATAAAATAGCACTACCCTATGGTATTTTTAAAATCAAATATTTATACCCTATATTTCTACTGTCTCAGCTACTGGTAAAGCCAGTGCCCAGACATATTCCACCCTGTACCTTGTATTCCAGAAGGCTGTAGTGGAGACCAAGTTAGCCTACTACTGCTAGTCACCCTTCACAAGATGACTTGGGCGTGAAAATATACAAAGCTCTCCATTTGTGAGCAATGGACGCTTCAGAGTCCTTATCTGGTTACATGGAAGTACTTGAGAACAGGAGAAAACATGGAAAAATCATCTCCCCAGGCACGAGGCCATCAGGTAGAGACTGTCAGATTGTGGAAATATCCACTTGGGCTCGTTAAAAGGGAGGAGAAGTGCTGGCCTAGCGTACTTAATTTTTGTTGTATAGGTACAACCATCTTTTCAAACAAAGAACCCTTCAGTTGCCCTTGCAAGTGCATAGGCTATCTGAGAAAATGTAGGAAGATGGATTCTTGTGGAACACTTGCCGTTCCATTCACTATTGCACAAAATATCACCCTTCCCCTTTGTGACCTCCTACTGTGCTTGTAAAAACTACAGTGACTACCTGCCTGGGAGAGTACTATTAGGAAAATGTTCAATTAAAGACAAGTGTTTTTCCTTTTACCAAAAAGTTATTCACATTATCATCTGTTGCTTTTCAAGTCACCTCTTCTCTTGCAAATATTTCTCTACTACCTGGGCTCCTTCCCCTCCCTCCCCCACCCCACACAGTGACAGAGCATTAAAAGGTCTTTGCTGGTTCCTATAACTGATTACCTAATGGTAGTGTTTTTCCAGTAGAACATGACTAAGTACTAAACTTGACATTGATTTTTTTTTTTAAATTAACCTGGTGACTGTCGCATTAAGTCAGAATGAGATTTCAAAAAAGGTTCCAACTGTATATAGCTGTGCGTGCGGTCAAACCAATAGCCATCCTGAGATGGTGTAAAGTATTTCATTAGAGTGGAAGACAGACTTATTTATTTTGACAGCTTGTTTCCTTGTTTTACATCCTGCATTTGACAGATGTTCTATTACCGAAGAGCAGGACTCAGTCCTATGCTGAATTGTACGGAGGGGAGTTCCCACACATCACTAGTGTATCTCGTAAAGGTCAAACTTCTTGAGAATCCAGATTTAAAGTTTCCACTATGCAATAACTACGTAGCACTGATGTACATTACTACACACGTCAGGAAATGAACTACATTTCGACTTTCTTGCAGCTTGAGTATACTTTCAAAGGGGCATGACAGAACTCAGTTTGCCTAAATAAAACATTGTACAACCTGTAACAATCCTTTGTTTTCAACTTCTTCCTGATCCTTAAAACTGGCTGCAGCAGAAATAAAATTTATCTTCTCTGCTGGCTGACCCCTCACCACCAGTCACTTGCCCCCTGGCCTTGCTGCTTATTCTTCATGTGAGGGTTTTTACAGGAAGTGATAGGATGATTGCATAATACTAAGGATTTCTTCTAACATACCCTACCTTCTAAACTAGGTTTGGCCATCAAGGTTACATCACAAATACCTATTTTATGTAGTTGTCTTACTTTAAAATCAGAAGATTTAGCTGTTTTGTACATTTGTAAGAAACACTTTTAAATAATGGGAGATTGTATTGGATTCTTGATGGCTTTATAAAGAATGACTATATTAAATTAACTGTTGGAACATATACATGCTTTCATTTCTCCAATAGTTCAAAGTTGTTCTAACCTCTATTGTAACTGGAAGAGCCTATGGGAGCCTTTTCTCCCTCTCCACTAAGAACATGTTTGATGCTTCTTCCACACCCATCTCATAAATAAGGCAGTACTGCTCTCTATAACAGAGCAAGATTATAGAGCAAAATGGGCATTTCAGTATAACATGGCTGAATTGTAACCATTCAACCCTATTGTACTGAAATACCTGATTTGTGAATAAAGCCTTGTAACTGTGAACGAAGTGTCACCGGTGCAGCGCTGTCAGCTTGGGGTACTTCAGTGAGGGGAAATGCAAAACAAAAGGAAAATAAATAGGCTTATCTGAGAGGCTGTGCAAGGAGTTCCATCCTCTGGCAGGGGTAAAGCAGGTCCTTAGCTGGGTTTGGTCTTGGGAGTCAGATGGCTCGGTCACCTCCGTGGATTAGGAGGGGCAAACAAAGTTCTCTGATATAAATAAAACAGGCCCTCGGCTTTGATGTTCAGGATTAGGCTGAGGAAGTGACTGGCTCTGCTGCCCCTTTACAATGGGGGAAGAGGAACAGGATATTTGCTGTGTCCATGTGAAAGACTCCTCCAGCTGACTTCCTTTCCTGCTTAAGTACTTGCTCCAATGAGCCCAGGTGGAGACTGAGCAGGTTCACCGGGGTGGGGCCAGCTAACTAGTTTTCTCCTTTTTGCAGGGAGTTAACCCCTTCTCTGCCTGATGTAGTGAGGTATGTAAGCCCGCTTGTTTGAACAAATGCTGACTGCCAATTTCCAATGGGACAAAGCAGGCATTTTTAGCGCTCTTACACAAGATAAGGATTGTCAATCTACCTCTCTGATCCAGGACTAGTTATTACCTATTCTGAACCTCAGATCAGACAGTTTTGGGGACAAATTCCACATCCTGAAGTGGAGGAGAGAGCTGTTTAAAAGCTGCTCAGCAGTGTAGTATGTTCATTCTGCAGTTGTAGAGCAGGATTCGTGGGCAGAGTGCAGGCGAGGTAGTCAAAGGTGTAAAGTTAATATAATCTTCAGCCGGATATGGCCACAGCGGGTGGGGTTGGGGGAGAATGTTTCAATAGATACCAATATAGTAAACATACCCTGGCTGTCAAATAAGCAAGTGTGGTGCTCGAAATGATGCTGTGAACACAGCTAGCTTGCACTTCACAGCTGTTGCAAACTTTGCGTTTAAACTTTGGCATTTGTGAAGCTGTAAAGAATCTGCTGCCGATAACCTAATGGAACGATAAATTATGCCAGTTATTTCTGAGCGAGGGATTTAGCTAATTTTTGGGTCCTGGTTCATAGGAAGAATACTGTATAATGCTTCGCCCCATTCCTGAGCTGTATCCAGAAGATACAATAATTTTGTAGGGAGCTGTAACTGCAACGCCAAGGTCTGTGTCTCTCAGATTCTGAGAAAAACAGCTCCCTTCTCACAGATCATTGCTGTATGGGGCAGTACTTTCAAACCAGTATACCAGGTTTCAAACAAGCTTGCAGGAGAGGGTGCAAACCTGGTGTCATTTCTCTATACACCTCTACCTCGATATAATGCTGTCCTCAGGAGCCAAAAAATCGTTCTGCGTTATAGGTGAAACCGCGTTATATCGAAGTTGCTTTGATCCACAGGAGTGCACAGCCCCGCCCCCCCGGAGCACTGCTTTACCGCGTTATATCCAAATTTGTGTTATATCGGGGTAGAGGTGTATAAGATGAGCTCTAATTATAGACCTGAGAAGCCACCAAGACCTACACTATTACATCACAAAATCCATGCCTCTTCCCATGCGGGGATGTTCTCTGTAGTACAGGCTGGACTGTAATGTCCAACCTACTTTCAGATGACTCAAACTGGCTAATAATCTTTAGTTTTTACCACTTCTCCAAAAGACAGCTTTTCCGCCGCCTACAGAAACTTTTTAAAACTACTCTGTTGGGCTGTGGATTCCAATATATTATCACTTCATCTCATGCTAATTTAGTTGGCATACTTCAGATACTTTCACGCTTCTTGCAGCCGAAGGTTTTTAAGGGGATCCAGTCAGCTAGACTGATTCACTTCTTCCCCAAGCCTCTGGCAAGTAACCTGTTTCATCAATAAAACCGTATACAGCAGAGCCAGTTTAAACAAATACTTGGTAAAAGGCTAGAGCTGACTTGAAAAAAATCATGCTCTAAACCTAAGCACACAATGACAAACTTTATTAAAGAGGAAAGGAGGACTTTGCAATTATTTGAGGGATTTTTACATGTTTTCCAGATAGCTGATGATTTTGGTTTAAAAAAAAATGAAATATTGTATAAACTACAAATTGAATTGGAATGTGTATAAAAATTACATCATCCAAGCTGGAGTCTAGAGTTAAGTCATTAGTGCAGTGTTAATGTAGAGCAGATTTCTTTTAAAAGGAAATTTTTTTTCCTGACATGAAATCTTGCGTTTTGAAGTATAAGCAGAATGTTATGTTCTTCTAACTTTTCAGTTGACTAAGCCCTCTGTTGTTAAGAAAATACTTTGATTAAGTCCTCAGAGTCCATTATATCCGGCATGCAAATAATTATAAATACTTATATGTCAGTACTAGCCCTGCAAAAATATTTGTCCTAACATTTAATGTTGCTTGTGTTAGATTTGTCTCTGCTTAGTAATACTTAGCAGCTTTAAGACCTATCATGCTAGAGGTCAGAGATGGGAGGGTAATGAACTAGTTCTAGCTTCATGTTGGTGGCTTGGTAGGATTTTTAAAAATATTGTTAAAATACATGTGTTCATAAAAATGGAGTGTCCAGAACATCATAGAGTCTGAGTAAACATTGTACTGTGCCCGATGGACCCTTACATTAATCCTGCATAAATTATTTAAAACTATTGTTCATGACATTAAAGTGTGTCAGATTTAGAGGACAGAGCTGTATATAAACAAAGGCTATTGTTGCATTTCCTTTGCGGACTAACAAACATTCACGTCCATTGATGCTGCCTGCTGTACGTGAAACAAACGCCACCATCCTTGTTAACCATTAGTGTACGCTCCTGCTGTGTTTTGAAAATAATACCAAACTGAGTTTGTTGGACTGGGGGAGTATCTGGCAGAATCCAAGCTGCAATCAGCATTAACTGTTCTTTAGAGACCAGGACCTACAATATCCAATCACGCTCTCACTTTAACACCTCCCACAACCCTTGGCCCCACTCTCTCTCCTCACTGATTTTACCACTTAAAAATAATGCTGCCATATCAGTGGCTTTGCACTCAGTCCTGCACACAGTGGGACTGCTCACGTGCGTGAAGTTAAGCATGTGCGTAAGTGTTTGCAGGCTCAGGGAGATTGCTGGGGAGCCCCAACCTTATTTTAAATCAGCATATTTTAGGTATTTAAATGATACTGGCATAGGTTTATATCCTGATTTACATACTACTTTCGCTATTCCCTATAATAGACTTCATCTTATCTGGTGAATTGCTCCTTGGGAATAGTGTTGCATTTTCTATTAAACTAACAGCTATTTTTCTTCAGACAGGAATCAGGGCTTTGGCCTTCTCAGTACACTAGCAGGTGCAAACTGCAGCATTGGGTCAGAAGAGAACCAAGATACAAAAGTAAACAGTAATTCTTATTTCTCACTTTATCCGTGTGTTTCCTCCCTGTCACACAGTGCAGTTACACCCTTTGTCTTCCACCTTCATTTTCTTCTCCCTCAGGGGCCACTTCAAGTCCTTTCTAAATGCAATGTTAAAGGAAATACCCTGCATTAATGTTATGAGGCCGGAAGACTTGCAGCCTGCATTTTTCTCAAGATTACCTGTAAGATGAATGCCCTTAGTAACTGCATAGCTGTCAGCTCATGGCTGCGAACTGTTGCACAGCACAGTTTCTTGGAGCTCTGTAACTTTCCCTGGTGAAACTTGGTTGAATTTTCAATGTGGGTGTTGGTCATAAGCTCTCTGACATTTGTGTAAATGCTTTCCCTCAGACAGCAGGCTGGAGCCAAGGAAAAGTTATACAAAACTCGAGTCAAGATGCTGGGTTGTTTCATTTATGTCTGGAAGTAGTGTTTGTGCCAGATTAGAGCTACAGTTTGAGAGGTTATTTTTCAAAAGCCCTAAGTTGTCTGCAGGAATATCATAGCTCAGGAAAATGTGTACCATGGTAGCAATATGTACATGCACAGTTCTATCCAGCACTTTGGATGAGTGAAGATACACAAGATAGGTGCTCTATCCTGAAGAATTTGCATTTTAAGATGCATATAAAACAATCCCTTGAAAAGGCTATGCTTTCAAGGGAAAACACAAAGCAACTGAATTCTTGGTGTTGCTACACCGCAGCTACATTTGATCTGTAGCTTTAAGCCTTTCACTCAACTGAGATATTGTTTTTAAAAAAAAATACGATTAAGAAGATCAGGAATGCTTCTAAGCACTCGTTAGACTTTCATAAATGCCTGACTCTCTGAACTGTTGGCTTCCTGAATGTTTGAACTGGAATAGCGAGCTGTTTTGTCTTGGTTATGGTAATAACTGGTAGTTTCCCTGACAGCCCCATGCACCAGCAATGGACAGAGCAGAATCTCATTTAGACAACAGAGGAGATGTAGCTAGCACAAACAACTTGCAGATTGACAGCATTGTAGGTAAGTTCTTCCTTTGCTTAGTAAACAAAATTCTGATGAGCTTTGCGGGGTGAGGTAGAAACTGAACCATGATGTGTACAAAAAAGGAACATTCCCAAAGAAAACTGTGTGGGAAAAGAGCCATTATTCATTACAACTGGATGAGTTTGTGGCTTAGCCCTCTGGCCCGTAGAGTAACCAATATCCAAAAAGTCTCCAGTTAGAAACTGCATTAATAGTACTTCTCTAAAGATATCATGTTGACTGGATGCCTGCTCTTGGGGCTTTTAAGCAGAAGACCAAGAGCGGGAACTGAGTTTAAAAAAAAAAAAAAACTCTTCAGAGAAGTGGAATTACAGATAAGCAATTTCCCCTTTTGTTTCCAGCTGGTTTGTGGCAGAATCTTGCTTTAAAGAGACAGTACACAAATCTATGCCTCATCTTTCTTTACATGTCCTTAGCCTTCATTGCTGGCAGTAGTCCACATTTCCTACCATTAGATCAAAGATTTTAGCATATGTATGTATTCCCTATAAAAAAAAGTTGACATGATGAACAAGGTGCACCTCTACGCTGGATAGTGACAGCACAGCTACAGACTAGGGACCGAATGGCTAGGTAGCAGTTCTGCAGAAAAGGACCTAGGGGTCACAGTGGACGAGAAGCTGGATATGAGTCAACAGTGTGCTCTTGTTGCCAAGAAGGCTAACGGCATTTTGGGCTGTATATGTAGGGGCATTGCCAGCAGATCGAGGGACGTGATCGTTCCCCTTTATTCGACATTGGTGAGGCCTCATCTGGAGTACTGTGTCCAGTTTTGGGCCCCACACTACAAGAAGGATGTGGAAAAATTGGAAAGAGTCCAGCGGAGGGCAACAAAAATGATTAGGGGTCTGGAGTGCATGACTTATGAGGAGAGGCTGAGGGAACTGGGATTGTTTAGTCTCCAGAAGAGAAGAATGAGGGGGGATTTGATAGCAGCGTTCAACTACCTGAAGGGGGGTTCCAAAGAGGATGGAACTCGGCTGTTCTCAATGGTGGCAGATGACAGAACAAGGAGCAATGGTCTCAAGTTGCAGTGGGGGAGGTCTAGGTTGGATATTAGGAAACACTATTTCACTAGGAGGGTGGTGAAGCACTGGAATGCGTTATCTAGGGAGGTGGTGGAGTCTCCTTCCTTGGAGGTTTTTAAGGCCCGGCTTGACAAAGCCCTGGCTGGGATGATTTAGTTGGGAATTGGTCCTGCTTTGAGCAGGGGGTTGGACTAGATGACCTCCTGAGGTCCCTTCCAACCCTGATATTCTATGATTCTATGAAGAAGGCTAATGGATCCTGGCCATCCCCACCCTCTCCCCAAAGATAAATAGCATAATTGGGGTCTGGGTTGCCAGAGCCCCTAGAAACTAAGTACCCCTCTCATCAAAAGCATACCCCTTTTTGAGAAACCAATGCCCAACCCTGCGAGGAACAGATTCCCTCAGAATTTAAGACAGAGGTTCCACTTGCAGTGTTGCCAACTGAAAGCATTCAAGTCTTTCTCCACAACCATGAGGGCTAGAAGCATTTTTTAAAATGAAAGCTGAGATGCTCCTGCATGACTACAGGAGCTGGGGCTTTAAGAAAATCTCGAACCATCACAAGACTATCACAATCAAGTTGCGAGAGGTAGCAACACTACACTCGTCTCGGAGTAGCTACCAGCCTCATCCCCAAACTGCTCTTCAGATCACTGGAAGAGAACACAGAAAATTCCATGAATGCCTCTGCTTCTGATGGAAAGAGGTTATAGGCTTAGTTCTTTTACAGTATGGAAACAAAACTAAAAAAAATATTTTGGGGGTTAAGATCAAGATTTAAATTGTTCCCTGTTCACAACATTGAGAGTATAAATGTAAGAAAAGTCCCTAGCTTCCAACATGCAGTATTTAACTTATTGGACTAGGATCTGGGATGTATTAGAGGGGACTAATATGATAACTAAACTGCCTGGTATCGAGTGCTTAACAGGCATTGTCCAAATCCTGTTTTGGGGATTGATGGTGGTGTTTAGGCAAAAACTAAGTCAGCACTTCGATTTGGAATGATCCCCAGCCATTTCTAAGGCAGATAGTGTTAAGAGCAGCAAGAAAACTTCTTACATTTTGACATATTTATAGCAATTTTAAACCATGTTCTTAAAATCTGATAAAGTTCAAAACACCTTGTAACGTGTGTCACGTCAAAACTGAGTAACATAGTAATTAATGCCATGAACCAATGGAAAATTCAAACCTTTTATCCATCACATTGCAAAGGGAGCCAGGAGTCTCACTAGTACTCCATATATTATTTTTAATATCATACCAGCAATTTATCATCAAACTAATGTGCTGGCCCGCAGGAAGAGTCTGGCTTAGATTAACTTTAATATGCTTATTTCAGATCCCATGTTAGATATGGATATTCAAGAGCTAGCCAGTCTCACCACAGGAGAAGGAGACCTGGAGAATTTTGAAAGACTGTTTTCAAAGCTGAAAGAAATGAAAGGTACTGTACCTGTAAATGAAGAGCACACCATCAGTAACCCAACAGTTATATTCAAAAAGCCAGTTAGCAGACCTGGGAACTTCATTGTGTCCATCTGAATGTCTTGAAAGTTATTCTTCTTCTAATGGTTGAAATCTTGAACACTTTGATCTGTTGTACTTCCCTTTTCATCTTAACTAGTATTGATCTTGAAAGCAATAGTCCTTTGTCAATAAAACTCTCATCATTGTAGGTAAATAGTGCTTTGTTTTTAAGAACACCTAAGTAGGTCCCACCGAAGTAGCTCGCCAACATTCTGCACTAGCTTTCTATCATGATCTTATACTCCACAATCTTCTATAAACAATTCCACAACAAGAATTATTTGATTTTTTTTTTTTTTAAATCTAGAACTTCATGCTAATCTTGAGGTTTAGAAATCCAAAATACTTAGAACCACTGATTTTCTAGTGTAGTTGAATTTTGGAAATCCTCACTAAAGTCTCCACTCCCTCCTTTCCCATGATTTTCCAGTAGTTCAGAAATGGCTTGCCAATCCCTCTGGAGCACTGCAGTAGGCCATCTCTGTCTCTCTCTCTCTCTCGATGCTCAGTAACTCTGCTAACCCTTGAGGGAGACAATCTAACATTACTCTTCTTTTCTCTACAGACAAGGCAGCAACATTGCCCCATGAACAGAGAAAACTACATGCAGAGAAGGTGAGGTCTGAAACAAGAACTTAAATTCTCCAAACATGTAATTCCAACTTTGAGTGTTCCTCTTTCTAAATAGCAGCTACCCTTCAGGATTTTAAGCAAGGAATGACTATCATAAATAGAAAAATATATTGGCTGCTGCAGCTCTATAAATATAGAGCATCTTCCAAACAGAATACCAATGATCGAATCTGGTCAACAGGCTTGCGAATGGGAAACAGCAACAATATGGAATTTTAAAGTTGAGGGAGGGTTACAGTTATCGGAACTTCAGAAATCATGCAGTAGAACAACTGAAGGCTTGAACCAACTCCCATTGAAGTCAATGGAAAACTCTCATTGTCTTCAATGGGAGTTGGTTCAAGCCTTCAGTTGTGGAAAACTTCAGCGGGAATTAGATCAGGCCTTAATAACAAATTTCACAAACCGATTTTATCTTGCAGAGATTCTAAAGCCCTCTAAATTGTCACATCCATTTTGTTGGGATTTTAGCTGGAGAAAGAAAATAACATTTCAGCTAGGAGTACTGTATATAGGTGTTCCTACTGTGTTTAACTCCTGCTCACTTTACATTTATCAGCATGTAGCACAAACGTCAAGTGTCTTGAGCTTGTTTTGGTTCTTTTGACCCACAGGTGGCCAAAGCATTCTGGATGGCAATCGGAGGAGACCGAGATGAGATTGAAGGCCTCTCCTCAGATGAAGAAAACTAAGTTCTCTGTAGCTGTTTGTAGTAGAGCTGATGCAATATCCTAAAAGTAATGCTGGACGTTTCCTACAAACAACAAACTCATTTTTTGCTGAAGCTGCCATTGGACTTGGTTTGCTTAAAAATTTTAAGTGATCCTCCTTGCTTATCATTGAGAGTAACACATTCCATAACACCTGAAACTGCATTAGATGGTGTTTGTTCTCCTGCCTGTATTCTCTCTCGGTGTCTGGCTATACTTTTAAGGCAATGTGCACCATCTTTACCATAAGTAGCAAACCACTTTATATTTTCCAAATAACCATTTTTGTTGTTTCCTTTGAGTTTTTAAAAAACAAAATCACCATCAGTTGTCTTTTTTCCCTGGGGTTGTCAAATCAGTACTTGAATCTGAACTCAAGCTTTGAGGCCTGGATTGGTCTAAAGTTTTTATGTAGCTTTAGAACTAATTTACTGGTTTAAAGGAACCAGACTTGTGTGAGCTATGAAGAGAAAACTGCTGACTCGCACTCCATTGAGAGATGGTGGAGTAAGGCCACAGGATTAGTCCTGTTAACTGATTGCCATTAATGTTAAAAATGACCTAGGGAAGGGCACAGGCCTAGTGCTGGTGAATTTTATCCTAAATACCTAGTAAAAGCCATCACCTCAGCAACACTAAATTGTCACATGACATGCCTTACAGCCTTAAGCACCTGTATTTAATTGGGAAACTAGAATGTATTAGAACACCAGCAAGTGGGAGGAGTATTGCTTTGTAGTGGTATTCACTGCTAGAAAAAGTATAGTAGATTAACAATGAGTGTTCTTAGCAAAGTATTCCTTTTCCCCTCCTCCTCATTGTAGATGCTCAGTCTGAGTGGCTCTCTTTTCCTCCCTGGACACTAGGAAGCAAAGACTGATGGGAGATGCATTTAGAGTATGAGCATATCAAGCACCATTGAAATAATCACTATGAAGGTAGGGGATGCCGGGTAAGAAGGTAAAGGAAAAGCCAGTTACCAGTTTAGACTACTTTTCTCATCAAACATAACCAACCCTCATCAGAGAGCAGATAGGGATTCAGTGAAAGGAGGTGGGACCTACCTTAAACAGTGGCCCATAAAACATTTCATGTCATGATAACTTCAGCCGAAGAGAAAAGCCACTTTAGATAATGCAATCAGCAGTCTTGCAACTATTCAGCACAAGAGCCCAGGCTTCTCTAATGCTCCTCTGGCTTGTCATGTGCAACAACCTGTATTCTCTAAGCACGTTCCCTTACCCCCCTGAAAATAGTCAATGTCACGACAATCTTTTTGACTTTGAAAAGATGAAGAGCTTTTACTTTTCTGATACTTGAGCCTCAGTGTAAATAAATTTTAGGGATTCTTGAGCCTATACTTTCAGTGAAACTCCATAATGCATCTATAAAAGCTGAATTTCTGGAAGCCACATGACACTAGGGTCTTTTGCATCCACAGAACTTGATCCGTTCTTTTGAAGCTGAGTTAGGATCAAATGAAGATGAAACAGAAGGGTGGCAGGAACACTCAAAGCCACAAGTCAAAACTGAAAATTGTGAAGCCATGATTAATAGCAACTAGTGCTGCTTTGATCGTAGTTGAGACTCAACTGTAACGACTTGCAACCTGTGGTCCCATAACAGCAACATGGACCTTTTTGAATGGCGGGCTCTTTGTAGGGAGAGACCTTACGCTGCCCTCCTGCCTTGGTATCCAGTCATTTGTGTGTTTCTCCTTCGACTGACTTTGCAGGAGCCATGGGAAAGTCTCTCATATCCTCAGGCAAGAGTCTAAAGTGAAAGGCTGCTGGGATGGATCTGATTCCTTAAACACAGAAGAGGGTGCGAGGAGGCACTGCTCTATCCTCAGAACCATCCTCCCAGTCAACAGCATTGGAAACCAAACTGAATGGCTTTGAGACAACTCTCCGCAACAGCTTTCTTGTTCTGTTCTTTTCCATCTCATCCTGTTCTGTCCTCATCTCCAAGCAGGAAGAGATCATGGAGTTATATTGAGTGATAGTCTTTCGTGCCTCCTTGCTTCCTGGAAGGCAGAGACTTTACCCTTTGCTAAATATTTGGTCATGTGGTAGGGAGCCACATGGCAAAAGAGTAGAGAAGACTCATTTAAATACACTAAAGAGCATATTTTATTTGAATGCTCGATAAAGCAGATTCACATTATACATCTGGCAGTAATTTAAGATCTTGACTAACTTTTTTTTTTAAAGTGCTGGCAGCTGAAGCAATATACACCAGTAAGAGGTATGAACCCAAGGGATGCAGGGAATGAGTGCACCAATCCAACCTAACCACCCGGCCATACTGCTAAATGAGAGGGGTGAGACGTCTTTAAAAGACCAGCACAAGTTGATACGATTGGCAGTATTTGGTCAGGAAAGTGCCAGGACTCTAACAGCAGTAACTAGCCAGGATTGTCAGCACCGTATGGGGAAAATGAGCACGGCACGTGCTTCCACTAGCCCTGGTAGTCTAGCCGCTGTAACTGCTATTCGTTTCCACTGCTTCTAACGTTTGCCCCGACGTGTTAGCACGTCAAAGAGTGCTTTGAAACAGCGCAGTGCTGTAAATCCATATCCCAGCAGTTGCACTTTAAACAAAAATCTATTCACGAGTCAAACTAGCTGTTGTGGCTAGAAAATAAGATGGAATTAAATTCAGCATTTATTAAATTACTGAATTGTATTTTTTGAGATTAAAAACTTGTGTGGTGTGTTTTCCCCCCTGTTTTTTGGCTGCAAAATTTCTTACCATGATAGTAGAGGTTTTAGAAATAAAGAAAGTGTTAGCGGAAAAGCAAAATGAAAAGCTGCTGTATCCTTTGTTTAGGGTTTTCTTTAATGTGTAAACTGTAGCATTGTATACATGGACATGGGCTGATTAAAATGCTATTTAAATACATCTGTACCAGTTTGGAAATCAATTTTAATCTCATGTTAGTAGTTAAGTAAGGACATGACTTGCAACAGGTGAACTTTCCTTAGCTCTTGGAAAACTGGCATCCTATTGGCTCCATGGAGCTTTTGATCAGGCCCTTTAGTAGTCTACTTAACTGCTTAGGGTCAAGGTGTTGGCTACCAAAAATTCCCTTTGCAATTTAAATTGGACAAGTGTACCTCACTCCTGCCTTAAACCCGAATGCAGCAAGGCACTTAAACACTTGACTTTGGAGGGACTACTCACATGTTTAAAGTTAGGCACATGCTTAAGTACCTTGCTGAACTGGGACCTTAAGCAGTTGTGTAGTACTGCTGTATACTGTCAAATAGCTGCTGGGTTTTGCCCAGAAATAGTAAAGTACTTTGGAGATAGTGTCTTGAAGGATCCCAAAGAAAAATCCTAAAGCTGCAATTTAAAATAGAAAGTGTAAGTTACTTTGCTACAATCTTTGCAAGTATGTTTGTAAAGGGGTGGGTTTGGGTGATAAACAGAAAACCTTAACACTAAAAAGGATTAAGATGAACATTCCAACGTCCCCCCCCCCCACCTTTGCAATCAAGAAAATTCAGGTGAGGATTTTAGTTAGCAAACTTGGGCTTCCACAAGACACCAATAATTAGCTTTTAATATGGTGTAGCTGCTACTACCCCATACAATACGAGAAGACCTACTATAAAGGGATAAACTTTGAGAGATCCATCCATCTACACATTTTCTGTGTTGCTACTTCTAGTTTACCCTACTGGTCCATGGAGGATTGGCTGGTCATACGATTCTGGCTGACTTCAGTGGAGAGTAACTGAGCAGATGGGAGTGGGGGAGGTAACAAACAAAAGTAGAGCGTGAGATATCACTTCTCACTGAAAGCACAAACTGCACTCTAGAAAGCAAATAGTACAGAAACATTATCTCAGTATTGTTCTACCATGGATGCAGCTGTTGAACGTGTTCCCCAATTCCAGAGGCACTAGTCCATCCAAATGTAATCTCCCTATTAAAACACAAACCACATTACAGAAAAATGTTGTGGAACTCCTGGATTACCCGTTACATTTTGTAAAATGAAAGCAGTGGAACTAACTTTAATCTCATCCATTCGCTTTAGTTTTGTGCGATTCAAAAATGCAAGCTTTAGTACTTCCAAAAACTTGAGACTTCCCTCAGTTAGAAAAAAGTCACCTCGTCCTTTATACTGGGTATAAATGGAGACACGTGCATCTCTTGACTAGCAGTCACTCTCCTGGCTTCCATCTGAAATTGCCCCTTGCATTTTTAATCCACAATTGGGATTTGCAGAAGTCAGTTAAAAAAGGTGAGTGTGCCTTACACAGACGGGTTCAGTTGTCAAATACCATTTGGCATCTATTCTAAACATAACCCAGGCCTACTTATGAGCTCAGGTTTGGCAGTATTTGTTATCCAGTCTTTGAAAAAACCCCTAAAGCTATCAGATGCTGATTGGCCTTTTCAGAGCAGTATGTCTGCATCTACTTGAAATGCATCTTCTGGCTTGACAGTGTTTTTACAATTCCTAAAATGCACTTGGTAGACTTCCTAAATTGACTGTGTTCTTTATATGGAACAGTTTGTACTTCCTTACACTCCATAGAGAATCTAATGCTGTTCTATATCCCATTCAGGTTGGAATTCTGTGTAATAAGCAAATCGGTGCCTGAACTGGTCACTAGCTTATTACAGATGTAAATTTATCAGAAAAATTAAATTGCCAAAATTCATAATGACTAAATAGCATTGTTTGTTAGCAAACCTCCAACCCTGAGAAACCATGAGGGCTACAGGACTGTGGTGTCAACATAATGATTCCAGATCAAGGTAAAAGAAAGCGTTATTCATTTTGCTTCAGCCCAAGGCTGAGAATTCTCAGGGGAAAAGGTGCTACTTGCGAAGAACAACAGAGATGTGTATTTCAAATTAAAACTAATTATATGTGGCATTTTTGAGGCAAAAGGGAAGTTTCTTCCAAGCCTTGGGCAGTCAGTGGTAGGTTTATGTCCTAAACCCTGAGCATTTATTCCTTACCCATTCTTTCTAAAGTAACTGTAAACGTTATACTGTTACAATGG